GGAAAGAAGCCAGCATTTTTCTGCCTTTCTGTATCACACATATCTTAGGATAACCAAACAGCCCTGAGGGAAAGTTCATCTACACAGAAGAATTTCAGCTAACAAAATGGAGTAGAAATAGAAGTAGAATATCACTATTTAGTTATCTTTATTAAAATAATTATAGGTGTAGGCAGTAAGTATCAGTAGCTATATGCACCATAAAAGCTAATGAAGAAATTTATAATGGATGGACCAAGCTGACAATTTTCCTAATCAATCTAAACTTCAATAACATATAGTCACCCAGAAATTAAGTGCATCCTGAAAGGATAATGTAGGAAGTATACAACATTACCTATGAAATGTTCTTGCCCCAAAATTGAGTTTGATGAAGCTACTAGATCTAACTACCATTTTATAGAAATACCAGAGGCAGAGAAACATGTTTAGCAACACTTTGGGGATGTGTAATTAGAAAAATTCAGAATATGAAAAATTCTATAGGCCAAACAATCTGGTTTATTCAATAAACTATTTTCAAAGGATTAAAAAAAGAGGGAAGGGAACCTGTATATAGAGAGATCAGTCAGTGCAATGCATGACTCATATTTGGATCCTGATTTAAACAAACCAACCTGAAAAAAAAATTACATGAGACAATAAGGGACATGCAAAGACAGACTAGATATCTGGTAGAATTAAGGAGTTACTATTATGATAATACTATATAATAGTATTGTGGTTATTTTTCTTAAAAGGGTATTTATCTTTTAGAGATATTACTGAAGTATTTACTAATGAAATGATGTCTGGGATATGCTTTAAAATAATCCAGTGGGACATGGATGTGGGTTGAGATGAAACAAGATTGTTGTAGTTGAGTGACAGGTATATGAACATTCATTGTATTAGTCTCCTTACATTTGTATATACTAGAAATTTTATGCAAAAAAAAAAAAAAAAAAAGAGCAGTTGTCTGCTTAGCTCACTTGGTTGGAGCGTGGTGCTGTTAACACCAAGATCAAGGGTTCTGATTCCTGTACTGGCCAGCCACCAAAAAAAAAAAAAAAACCCAAAAATAACAATAAAAAACTTTCTTTGCGACTGGGGTAGTAGTATCTGGTAGAATTTGGAGGAAGGGGAGAGATGTGTGTCCAGAGAATTTCCTTGAGAAAGATGCCAAGTTTTAAAGGGAGAAACTAAAAAATCTGTGAGAAGCAATTGTGTATGTATGGCATTATTCATTGTCAAAGGACTTTGTAATAAAACCAAAGGTTGGGGATAGGGTAGAAATGCTCTTTTAGAGTACAACTATTATTTTATTTTATTTTATTTTTGGTGGCCGGCTGGTATGGGGATCTGATAGAGTATAACTATTTTTAAAACTTAAGTAAATTTTTGGGCCGGCCCGTGGCTCACTCGGTAGAGTGCGGTGCTAATAACACCAAGGCCCCGGGTTCGGATCCCACATAGGGATGGCCGGTTCGCTCAGTGGCTGAGCGTGGTGCTGACAACACCAAGTCAAGGGTTAAGATCCCCTTACCGGTCATCTTTAAAAAAAAAAAAAAATACTTAAGTAAATTTTTAAAATTTCGGAATAATTTTAGATTTACAAAAAAGTTGCAAAGGTAGTAGAGAGTTCCCATATACTCCTCAACTAGTTATCTCCATTATTAAAATCTTACGTTACTGTGGTACATTTATCAAAATTGATGCATTACTGTTAACTAAACTCAACTTATTTGGATTTTGCTAATTTTTCCATTAACGTCCTCTTTTGGTTCTAGAATCTAACTAATCCAGAGTCTCACAATGCATTTAGTTGTCTTCTCTCCCTAGTCTCCTCTGGTCTGTGATAGTTTCTCAGTCTTTCTATGACCTTGACATTCGTGAAGAGAACTAATCAGGTATCCTGTAGAATGCCTGTCAGCCTGGGTCTGTCTGATGTGTTTCTCATGATTAGAGAGGTTATGGGTTTTTGGAAAGAATACCACATAAGTGAAGTGCTCTTATATTGTATTTGAGGTACATAAAAGCCACATGACATAACTGGGGATGTCAACCTTCATCATTTGGCTAAAGTGTTTGCTGGGTTTCTCCCCTGTAAAGTTACCATTTGGAAGAGTCACAGGTCTAGCCCACTCTCAAGAGAGAGGTAGCAGAAATTAAGCTCCACCTCCTGGAAGTGGGAGTGCCTAAATATCTGGAATTCTTCTGTAAGGAATATTTGTCTCTTTTCCCTATTTATTTATTTATTCAATCTTTTATTTATATCAGTATGGACTCGTGTGTACTTATTTTATAGTTGGATTATAATTCAAAACTACATCATTTATTTTGTTTCTCAAATTCTTCCAGTCTTGGTTATTGAAAGCTGTTTCATATTGGCTGTCTTTAACATGCCCCATCCTTTTGTTTTTTGAGCACTTCTTTACTTTCTGGCTCTACAAGACGCTCCAGGCTCATCTTACATTTTTCTTGTCCCAGGACCAGAAGTCAGCCATTTCTCCAAGGAGGCCCAATTCTTTTTATTGAGGAATCGTATTTAGAAACAAAGATCTGGGCACTGGGTGTGCTCATAGCAACGGGGAGTCATTGCATTTAGGCTCTCTGAGTCGATAGAACTAGATAATATGTATATGCATACTAACCCACAAATATGAGGGTGCTTCAAAAAGTTCATGGAAAAATGGTAATACAAATTTTTCTATGAACTTTTTGAAGACCCCTCGTGCATACATATCTGTAATTGTTTCTGCATCCATCCATGTATATACAGTAAGCTAAACATGAAATCAGAGCATAACTTTTATGTGAACTCTGAGGGTTTTTAGGAAGAATTAAACCTCTTAGCAATGTTTCTGTTTTTTTTTTAATTTTTGGATATGGCAAAATTCTGTCTGTAATAGGATATATCCTATATCCTTCTCCTCCTCAAATCTATGGTAAATTAGCAACAGAAATCAGACAGAGGACAAAATGATTTATACTTAGAGAGAATGCCAGACTGAAAATCATAAGACATACACTTAATGAAAAAAACTTTAGGTTACATTCAATTAAAAAATACGTCATATTTCTATATGGATTGTGATAAAAAATTATAGATATCATGACATCATATATTGATAAACCACTGTGACCCCAATCTTGGTTCTAATACTTATTGCATTAATAATAGCCCTAACTTTAGCACTAACAATCTGATTTCCAACTGACTGATTTCTTTTAGAGGAGCACTCTATCTAAGGAATTGAGAGGCTGGAGACTTCAAGATGAGAGGAGTTGAAATATGGATGGCAAAAAGAAGTCATGTTGGAAAGGAGAAATATACATGTGGGACCCCCTGTGGAGACCTATGGAAGAAACAAGTTGAACTCCTTGAAGGCTTAAGAAGTGGTCAAAGGGGCAGATGAGTTCGTGGTCCCCAGGTCCCCCCCTGACCCCCAGTCTGTACTGTTCAGACTCATCTCTGGAGTCTTGAGTAAAATCTGCTTAAAGCTTCCATCAGTATCGGGCCGGCCCGGTGGAGCACTGCTACAGTGCGCCGCTTGAGAGCGTGGCGGTGCTCCCGCCGAGGGTTCGGATCCCACATACAGACCGGCTGCTCACTGGCTGAGCGAGGTGCGGGAGCAA